TGTGTTACTCTGCTTCTCCCACCACTACCAGTGAGGCTATATCTACACTACAGAGCTTTTTCAAAAAACTTCATTTACATCCACACTGCAATCATGTTCTTTCAACCAAAATTGAAAGAACAAAGGGGTTTTTCCAATACTGGAAAATCTCTTTCTATGAGGAAGAAGCCTTTTTGCAAAAGAGCTCTTTCAGAAAAAGGCATGTGTGGACGGAGAAGGAGTTATTTCGAAAGAAGAGGAAAGAGGAAAAAGCACAGGTGCCCTGGTGACCACTCCCTCCATAATAATCAAAGCTTAAATGCGAGATAGTGTCCATTCAGTGCGCATACAATCTTTCGAAAAAGCAGATTGCTTTTTCGATGCGTTTTTGCTGTGTAGACGCTCTCTTTCAGAAGAAATTTTTTTGGAAGCTCTCTCCTGGGAAAGCTTCTTCCAAAAGAAGCCTGCAGTCTAGATGCAGCCTAAGTATGCGAGGACTTCACACTCAGGCTCCGTCGACGGAGCCATGTAGATTTGTTGTTTTGGCAAATGCAAATGAAGCCGCGATTTAAATGATCGCGGCTTTATTTACATTTACATGGCTGCCGCGCTGAGCCAACAAACAGCTGATCAGCTGTTTGTCGGCTTGTGCGCTAGTCTGGACGTTCCCCCTGTCGACATCAAAGCCCTTTGTCGGCAGCCCCGGTAAACCTCATTCCACGAGGAATAACGGGGCTGCCAACAAAGGGCTTTGATGTCGGCAGGGGAGTGTCCAGACTAGCGCACGAGCCGACAAACAGCTGATCAGCTGTTTGTGTGGCTTCATTTGCCTTTGCCTATGTGTCTAATCTACATGCCTCTGCCGACAGAGGCATGTAGTCTAGACACAGCCTCAGTGTCCTGCAGTGCCCTGGGCCGCATCGGTTGGGAGAAGAGGCAGGGCGGGACAGAGCAAGGACGGGGAAAAGCAGGGCCTAGGGGACAGACGGGGTTTTCCTGGCCCTTCCCCAGGCTGGAGGGGCAGTGTCATGTGGCCAGTGCTCCCTCTCCCCCCGCTATGCCTGACCTCACCAGTTGTCCCTGGGACCACAAATACTTTGCAGTCACAGGATGTATGTTTAGAAATGATAGATGGAAAATGTCATTATGCTATTCATCCATTTGTAAATTAATCTGTGATTGTGTATATGGGTGATAATTGTATAGGTCTTAGAAGTTGGTGCCCAATTATCATAATTATGTACATGATGTATCTCATGAACCTCATCGAAACAGATGATTTTGCCATATTGTAGTTATTGAAGGTTGTGATTTTAAACTTCAATGCTTGAATTGAAATATAGCAAATTAAAAGTGAAATACACTTTGTGTTCAAATATAATACTTGCACCCATTGGAATGAATTTAACTATTTGTACAGATATTGCTTCAGCATCAGCTTGTGAAGAATTATTTACATGCTACTAAACAGGAGGCATGTAAGATTACAGTCACAGTCCATCATTCTACTAGTGATATTAAATAAGTAATTGAGAGGATTAGCAAAAAATTGGAATATAAATAGTAAGCAGACAGTGGTGGGATGGTCCCTCATGGAAACAGGGATTTTAAATCTGTATTTAGTACCAATTGTGGTGAATCTTGTATTTTAGATAGTAATGTTTTGTTCCTGGTGTTGACATGCTGCATTCAAAGGAAGAATAATCAGTTACAAAGCCCACATTTTTTCTTGCCCTGGAACTTACATGAGGTCTGCTCTATAATGAGGCATATTCAGGGATGAAAACAGAGTGTCAGCAAGAAAATTATTGCTCAGTATCAGTAAAGAGCATTGAGCCTATGCTGAGTCTCTCTTATAAGACATTGAATTTGTGTAAGTTTGTGAAGTTCTTAATGTTAAAGATAGATAATCTCCAAGGAGATGAGTCTTACTCAAGAATTTGGCATTCCTATATTTACCCCAGATGAAACAGTACTTCAATCAACAATTCTGTATGTTCAGTCACTGCCACTAACAAGCCAATCATCACATAAGCTAGGAACATCTTAAGTCCTGAGAGGCAAGGCCAAATAGCTATATGTTTGCAGCTTTGCTATCGAAATAGGGGGATGGGACAGAAGATTAATATACAGTATTACAAATATGGAACCAAGTAAGTGAGATCTTAGTTTTAAGTGCTCCATGTGTTTATGACACCAAACATTTTGATGGTTAAGAGATAATGAGTATTTTGCTGAAATTAGGAAAATGGGTGACTCACTAGGAGTCATTGTATCTGATGTATTTTGTTTGAGATTAGCTATAAAAGATGAGGTGAAAGCACTTGGACTGTGCTAATTGTTTATCAGATGGATGAGCTGTATCCCACTGATTTATTCCTGACACCTCCTTGAGTAACAGTAAAGTTACTACTGTTTTGGATTGTAAAAACCCTGAGTAATAAAACTAGACAATCATTTCATTATCAAATGAACTTACACATGAAAATGACAGAAGACAAAAAAACCTATTGCTTGTAGATCAACAGTTTTCACAAAGCAATAATTCGATATCTGACCTCATCCTCTGAGGAAACCTCATAACACCTCAAAGGGCAAGGCTGAAAGCTTAAATTCATAATTCTGCTGGACACTAAAAACCATGGCTTTAACACTAACTTTATGTCCCATTACAACAATTTGCAATAGACCCTGCTGCCTACTGTGCCTCCCGTGGCCTCCAAGTGCAGAGGTGAAAATCGCCCATTTCATTTTAAGTGATCTCCTACACCTTGTCTGAACCCAACGGCTATGTCTACAATGCCCCCATTTTGTGGAAAAAATATGCAAATGAGGCAAAGCGTGGAATATCCCTTCATTTGCATAATAAATTAGGCTCTGTTTTTGCGCAAGAGGCTTTGGCGCAAAAAGGAGCCGTCTACACAGCTCTTGCACAAGAGGGGGGTTTGGCGCGAAAATAGAGACTAATTAATTATGCAAATGAGGTGAAACGATATTCCATGCTTCACCTCATTTGCATATTTTTGTGCAAAATGGGAGCAGTGGAGACATAGCCCTTATGTTTAACAATCTGTCCAACCTTATATATAGCTTGGGATCTCTGGTTTCATACCCTAGACCTGAAGAAGAGTTGTTTGATGCTCAGAAGCTTGTCCCTTCCACCAGCAGAAGTCAGTCAAATAAAAGATATTATATCGCCTACCTGGTCTTTTTTGTACACAATAGAAAAGAACAGATCTTTGATATATGTGATTACATTTAATCCTGATGCTGAATATGAAGCACAGAAGAACCTCAGAGTTACTAAATGCACTTACAGGAGAGGGGGGAAGGAAAGGGAGCAATTGCCCCAGGGCCTGGCAAGTCAAAGGGGTCTGAGGCTCCTAGCTGCCGCTGCTGCTACTGCGACAGCAGGGGCCTCTTTGAATTGATACTCAAGAGCAGTGCCACATGCTCCACAAGTCTCTGAGAGCTAGGGGGTGGGGGAAAGACACTGTGATGTGAGTGGCACTAAGGGCTGACTGCCCTCAGCCCTGCACCTGGGTAACTTACCCCAGGGTCCACAGTGGCTGTTGACCCTGCTGACTAAAACTATGGAAATGGAGGCTGTTCGTAACTCTTAATAAAATGCTAGGTTGTTCTTTAAAAAGTTTACAACTGAACATTAATGTAATACAACTTTGAAACTTCACTATGAAGAAGAAAAATGCTGCTTCCAACCTTCTTAATTTAAATGAATAAAAGCATGGAAACAGTTTTCTTACCTTGTCAAATTAAAAAAAAAATCCCATTAATTTTTTTAGCAATTTACATTTAACACACTACTGTACTGTAGTTGATTTTGTTTGTCTGCTTCTGCTTCCACTAGACTGCATACTTCTAGTTCCAAATGAGGTGTGTGGTTGACTGGTCAGTTCGTAACTCTGGTGTTCATAACTCCGAGGTTCCATTGTAAAACTCAGAACTCAAGCCTGATACACTGAGGCTCAGACCTACTATTTTTCACCTTTCTAAACATCTCAGTTTTCCTCTCTGTGAGTATGTAAGGTTTTTCAGATTCCTTTATATTCTCTCAGTGCTCTAAAATTATCAAAAGATCAAATTAAATGTAAAGATATTATGTGTTAGCTCCCCTTTCTAATGTAGTGTTTATTGAAATAATATTAGCATTTCTAATAGTTCATACATAATAAACATAGTCAGCACTGAGTCTGAGTATTCCATCATCCCACTACCATGTGTATGTGTGTGTGAATATATAGATATAGATATAGATACATACACACATGTATTATTACTGTATATTATAACATATTAAGGAAAACTGTAAACAAACTTATCACTTATTTGGTGTAAGCATAGTACTTTTTGGCAACTATACACTAGTTTCATGCTTCTTTCCATGCAAAATTAACTGGCACAGTACAACTTTTCCCCTCCAATTACATCTAATAACTCTACAAAGATTTATCACGATCCCCACAAACAAAAGGCAAAACTAATAATTATCAAAGCAAATGGCAAAGACTCTAATACTATACAATACTCAAACAAAAAATGGCATGACAACAAAAGAACAAACATGACAGTGAAAGGGAAAAAAGAAAAACAATTTTCTGTGCAAATCGACCAATTTTTCTCTCTTTTTTAACCTGGGATTTAAACTATTAACTTATTTTAGTCCCAGGAGCACATATGCAGGAAATCATATCAGCCAATTCAACAGAATCCTCATTGTTAATTACTTTATAATTGCAGATAACATCACCAAGTACTAGCATGTGACCATAAGACCAAACTTTCCTTTGTGCCTGAATATTTTTTCTTATGCTACCAAATAGTAAAAATGACAAAGTAAGGGGGGATTTTTAGTTTTGTTTTTCTTTTCTGCACCTTAAGAAATGCTACATTGTCTCTAAAAACACCCTATCTTTTTATTAAATGCACTGTTTTAATGAGTGACACAGAGCACACGAAGACCAAATGAGAAGTTTAAAATGTAAGCTCCACAAGCTCAGTACCTTCTCGCTATGGCTATGCTCCTCATTTAAAGTTGTGCTACTACACGTATCTACCCCAGAGTCTTTAACTTGAGGCTCTGGCCATTCCAAGTCCTCTTCCAAAGAGTGGCCTCCAAAGCACACCATTTTCTTTTGTCTCTCAGATAAGGTGTTAGAGTCCGAAAAAACTGCCTGCTCACTAGTTTTTCTTTTTCCCCTTTGACTGTCCCCTACAAGTGTGGGATAAAAAAAGGGATACAAAAAAGAAAACATGCAAAGGTGTAAATAAAACAAAGGAAAAGTGAAATGATAAAGTAAACTGAATGGTAAGGCTCCACATGTCTCACCAAAGACATTGGGGATGCCTCACTGCTATGCCAAGACGTATGGTCCACCCAGTTGTAATCCATGTCTCCTGTGAGAATCAGACAGACAAGATAGTGCAAGTAAAGGAAAAGCGGAAGAAAGGACAGACACAGATATAATAAAAACTTTTTAAAAATTGTGGTTATCCTGACTGACTCATAACCTTTGACTGTAACACTTGCTGGAATGTTTTCAAGAGAAAGTTGAGACTCTGCATCAATGGAATACATGGAACGTGGAAGACTGTGTGTCTGTATACATATTCAACATATGAAAATATAAAAAAGTGATTTAATTCTATTAACAGTACTTTGACGATCTTACAAAAATATCTACAAATATCACAGAAACATGTGACACCTTATTGTGTATACATTAGAAACTTTTTGGAAACTGACTGCACTAAGTGTAACTTGTATCATCTTTGTCAATCTTAACCTAATAATGCATTTGTCTAGCTTGAAGGCCCTCTTGCCTTTTCTGATCAAAATAATTGTTCTCTGGCAGCTATAATAAACTATGTAAACAGTGAAGTGCCAACTTCAGAATGTTGAAACACCTGTCAAGAGATGATAGATCATTAAGAAAAATAAAAATATGAAACTTTTAGAATTGACTGATATTAACTTTGCATAAATTCATAAAAATGAACATTAATTAATTAATGCAGGCAAAATTATTATTGTTGTATTATTATCTTAAATATGGAATCAATGGACTGTATTTTGATACATTTTAAAATATTTTCACACCATATACATCTAAATTTTATACCAGAAATTTGATTTATTAGATAAATAGAGAGACACTAATGCTATTGAACAGTTGTTCCCAAGGATTAATGCTGTTGTCAATAAAAAGGGGTTATAATAAATGGTTCTGCGCTATATAAATATTTTCCCTTTTATATAGGTCCTGTAAATTATAGAATACACCCATGTCTTTTGGCCTTATAACATTTTCCTTGTATTCTAGAACCGTAAGTGTCATCTATCTATAGATTTTAGAAATGTGCATCTGTCTGTCTATCTGTCCGTGAGTCTGTTTGTTCAAGAACTCCTCCTAAATGATAAGAGCTAGGACCATGAAATTTGGTATGAAGCTTCCTCTTACCCTAACATAAAGCAAGATTAGGGTCTGGTTGTGCCAGGACAATGAGATATGCCTGGAGTTCAATTGTTTCTCATAAAATGGAAAAAGAGGGGTCTGGTAGAAGGGAGTTATACTGTGGAATGATTATAGTTGGGCAGCAAGTGCCCCAGCAGAAAGCCACTGCCAGCCGCAGTGCAGCCACCACTACCCCAGATCAGAGCAAGGGAGCACTAGCAGGAGGCCTGCATGCCTTCCCCCTTCAGCCCCTAAGCTGGATCCAGGGAGTGCCGGTGGCAGACTTGCTGCCCCCAGGCCAGCACAGAGTACAGCTGGATGATGGCCTCTGTGGCCACATCAGGTGACAGGGAAGAGTATGACCAGTGAGTCTGATAACACTTTGATCCACTGACCAAAACACCTTTGATATGGAATGCACAGATACAGACTTCAGAGAATTATGCTACACAATTCATGGTTTTGCAGTGTGATAGGGTTTAATTCTCAGTGTGGCTATTAGCTGAGCTTCCAAAGGCCTTACACTCAACTTAGTGGAATTTCCCTATCTGTATTTTTGAACAATTCATTCAGTCAACATTCTGGGAATGTTGTAGGCATCAACAGTCAAAATTTCATTAATTTTTATGAAAATCTGAAAACCAGAAGTGGGATAATGGAAGAAAAATGGAGCCCCAGAGAGCTCTTCGGAGCCACAAAATCTCTAGTACAACTTCGAAGAACTGGTAGATAATACCTGTTATGGCTTCCAGCAAACAATACCACTGTTTATCTCTGGTGATTCCTGTTAATAGCACCACGTATTGACAGGTAGAATGACTTCTCTCCCAGACAGAAAGAAGAATAACAGCAGGAGAAAAGGAGAAGAGGAGCACAGGTGGCACACAACCCAAAGAAGAGAACAGGGGAGTCTGATATCCAGGGAGCAGAATAAAGGATGCTACATTAGGTGGATGGAGAAACAGAAGTACACAAAATCATGGGTGGAGGAAAAAACAGAGATCCTGGTATGAGGGACATGGTGGACTGAGGAAAATAGGATTGTAAGCAACTCGTGGGATGGACTGTACAATGGGTATCTTGGTATGCAATTTAATGTGGGGAGGGAATGAGAACCCCTGGGGATTGGAGAACACTGGTATGGGGGGGGGAGTGGAATGGGGGCCAGGGAAGAAAAGAGGAAGAGGGGCACATACCAATCTTGGTTTGGGGGGGAGCAATGAGAGATCCTTGTTTGGCAGGAGGAAGGAATGGGGAAAACAGAGCTCTTGTCATGGAGGCGATTAGAGAGCATGGGAAGAAATGAGAATGGAGGTGACCCAGTGTACTGTTTTGGGGGGAGATAATGGAGGAACCTATTATGGAAGATGAGAAGTACACAGAGAATCTGACAGAGAAATGACTGGAGGGACTAGCAGGGAGTCCCTGAAAAGGAGGAGATGGGAGACTGGCATACACAGAGATCATATAGTAGAACGAAATAATGAAAGGATCAGCAGGCATGTGCAACAAGCTCAGCCTGCTCAAGTTTTGAAGTATATAACTCCCTAGTACACAATAAACACTGCATGAAAAACAGAAAGTTTGACATTTACCCTCACACTTCAGCATCAGTCCCTAAGATGTGCAAACGTCTTCACATTTAAAAAACAAACAAACAAACAAACAAACAAACAAAAACCCGCTTAAGAGTTGGTTTTAAGATCTGAATAGGACAAAATTCAGGAGGAAAATATGAAAATCTCTTCTTAACACAGCCTACTGTCTATTCATTATACAGTCCATATAGCATATATAATATCCCCCATTATTCTGAGATTCACTGGAAAATATTTTAAATCAGTTGGACCAGTATTTCTGGTTATATTTAAGATCCTCATCAATTTCCAATCTCATTTGCTCAAATTATAAATAAGAAAGATCATGGGAGTGGGGTTCAGTTCTAACTGACAATCTTACAGATGTAACCTGAAACCTGAAAGTCCAGATAAGTCTGTTTAACTAACACATACATTACAGAGATGCAAATGGTGGTTAAGGTCAAAGTGAAACTGCACTTAAAGCAACAAGACTGTTGAATATATGAGGGCTACTCTTGCAGTCATTACTCAGAGGTGAGTTGCAAGTTAAGCTTGATCCTTGATGTTATGGTGACATAGTTTAGCATGTGAAGTTTTCTTTAATTTCATAAAATTTAACTCACATTGAAAACAAATCTTATGAAAGTATTTGTAACTTTACATATTATTTAAAGGTCTGAGCCTGCAGTCACTCAAATCAACTGGAATTTTGCTTGATTTAACTGAAAATGGGATTAGACCCTGCCATGAAAGGATTTCTTCAAAGCCATCTGTATATCTTAGGAAGCCAGTCTTCTATCATAGGAAGAACAGAAGAAGACCAATATAGCTCCAGAAAGAGCACTTTAATGACCTGAAAATCAAAAAAGAAGCCAACAAAACTTCGAAACATGGACAATTTCTCAGGAGAATAAAATAGCAGCTCAAGCATGTAGGTATAAAATCAGAAAGGCAAAGATATAAAATTACATTTAGTAAGGCACACAAAAGCCAATAAGAGTTTCTTTAAAATATTAAGAGAAAGAGAAAAATGAAGGAAAGCATAGCTCCTCTACTTGGTAAAGGAGAGCTAATAATTGATGACATAAGTAAAGCTAAGGTGTTTAATGACTGTTTTGCTTCAGTCTTCACTATTAAATGATCAATGCTTGCCAGACACTCAGTACAATTATTAACAACAGAGAAAGAA